GCGCGGCCCTTTACGACCATTTTATCGCGCGCGGCGTAGCTTTTCCGACTCGCCGATCGTTTTAGAAATACCTCCTGCGGGCATCCTAGAGAATAAAAAATATCGGAAATTTTAGATTTCTTCAGAAAAATTAGAGGCTCTAAAATTTCCGAGATTTTTGATATAGACGATATATCTAAAGATCTCGGAGATTTTGGATCGCCCGGGCCTTATTTCGGAAGCGGATTTCCGCCTGATTTAATTCTCTTTTATTATTTGCGCGCCTGCTCGGCGGAGCGGATAGATCTAGGATAGAATGAAAAATATTCCGAATTTTTAATTTGATTATATCTATCTATGGGGACTTATATATTCTCCCGAGTTGTTGCACCGATAATCTAAGAGAGAGAAATCAGGCGGAAAGATTGAACCGGATGCGGGGATCGCGTGATCCCAAATCTTCCGATTTCGGATCATTTCTCTCTCTTTGAATATCTGCGCGATGCCTCTGCGGAATAAATGAAATCGGGGCGGAAATCATCTAAAATCTTTCAGAATCTATAGATATATATTGATTATATCATCTATTTTCATATGCGATCTTATTGAATCTATATGATTTATTTTTTTGAGGATTTGCGTAATTATTCGGCGGCGGAATCTATGCATTCCCATCGAGCCGTCTTTCAGATAGCAGGTGATTTATCATTTTGGGATTATCTGCGCGGCTATTCGGCGAAGCGCATACTTTCGGCACGGAGAATCAATATCTTTCAGAATTTATCGATTGATTGTCGTATTCCCATATGGAGCTTCCTCAAATCTAGCGAAATAGGATTAAGAATCCAAGGCGGGGAAAAGATCTGATTATCTTTGTGCGCAAGGATTTATGCGCTCTCCCGAGCCGTCGCGCAGATAATCTAAGAGAGATAAATCAGGCGGAAAATGCGGGGCGGATGGGGATTGCGCAATCAAAGATCTCCCAAGATTTGGATTTTTTTTTCTTTGGCTATTTATATGATTTCGGGAGAATATATCCGAGGCAGGGATCTGAAAATCTTCAGAATATATAATTTGGTCGTCTTTATCATATACGAATTTATATATAGATTATTCATCGGATTTATATAAAATTATATATATTATTCATTCATCGCTTCTCATGATAGATATTCTCAAATAAATATCTTCCGCTATTATAAGCAGCTTCGTATTACATATTTCTTTATAAATGAATATAGATTAGATTTTTATATATATTTGATATACGATTTTCTAGAGGATTCCTATCTTCTTCTCATGATTTTGATTTCTTATAATATTTTGATCTATGAGCTTCAAAAATTCTGATAATTCTTGAAGATTTTAAAAATGAATTTTGAATTTTGCGAATCTATCAGAATCTCTATATTCTTTATCAAAATTATCAATTCTGCGTCCAAAATGATATAAAAATAGAATCTGATTATATCTTTATATATCTTATTATCTGCATATATTCATCTTCATATTTATTTCTTTAATTCATTAATCTATATATTTCTTTCTTTATATCTAATATCATTTATATTTCATTATTATTTGAATTTGATTATTATTCAGATATATATCTCAATAATATGAAATAGAAAATTGAGGCTATTTCGTTCGCGCGCGATTTAGCTTTTCTGGCTCATCTTCAAAATGATTCCTATAGATTCCTCTGGATTTCTAAAATTTCGGAAATTTTAAATTCTTTCGGAAAAATTAGAGGCTCTAAAATCTCCGAAAATTTTAGTATGGACAAGGCGACTAAATTTGGTCGCGCGGTCCTTGCCTCTGGAGCGATCTTCCGCGCGATTTATCTCTTTTTGGCTATCTGCGCGGCTACTCGGCCGAGCGCATGGATCCAGGACGGACAATCAAACCTTTGTCAGAATTCAGAATTTATAGTTTGGTCGAATTTATCTGCGAGGATTTATATATTCCCCCGAGTCGTTGCGCAGATATTCTAAGAGAGATAGATGAAGAAGAAAGAGCGGTCCGGATACGGAGATCACGCGTGCAAGAATTTTCTTAGATTTGGAAGCATTTCTTTCTCTTTAGATATCTGCGAGGCGGCTCGGCGGAACGTATAGCTCCAAGATTATGATCAAAAATCTTTTCAGAATCTATAATTTGATTGATTTTATCCTAGACGATATTCTATCTTGATTATTCAACGGATTTCCTATATAATCTTCTATATTGATCATTCATCGGATTTCTCATTAATAGGTCTTTTCAAAGAAATATTTTTCTCTTGCTGAATCTATCAGATCAATTATGATATAATTAGAAATATAATTTTTCATTTGGCGAAATATATTTTTATATATAAGAAATATCTAGATCATAGATATATCGAATTTCCTTATAAAAAGATATATAGATTTTTTTCGAATATTTCAAAGATTTTATTATTATCTTTGATTTATGAATCATTGAATTCATGATATTTTTCAAACGATGAATCTATTATCGCATAAAGAAAATTCTATGAATTTTTCTTTCATTTATCTTAGATCTGATTTATATGAGAAAGATATATATAGAATCAAAGATTTATATATAGAATAATTATATTATTTATGATCAAATATGAATATCGAAAACGATAAAGAGATCAATATTTTTTTCATCGATTTTCTATGAAAGATTCAGATAATTCAAAAGATGAATCATATATTTATCCAAATTCTAGATTCATAGAATTCGTGAAAAATCGTTAATCCAAGATCTCTCATCATCTGAATAAAGATAAGATCTAAAATGAAATTTGATATCATAAATAAAGATTTCCTAGAAATATCAATCTATCCAAGAGATAATATCGTAATCAATCAGAAAATCGTGATTGAAGAAATCTTTTAAATCTAATCATCATCATCGCTATCAAATAGAAAGATTCCTCAATCTATATTGTATCTAGAATTCATTACGAATTGATTCAATCATAGATCTTAAAGAAATCCGTCTCTCCAAATCCGAATTTATGATTCGTATGAAATCAGATATGATAAATTCTCTTTAAGATCAAGAAGATATCAGATTCAGAATTTATAATCCCCAAAAAATTCTGAAAATATATACGCAACGAATCAAAAGAAAATTATCGGGCGCGATTGATAGGCTAATCGAAGGCGGAAAGAAGAAAGACATCTCATTATTCAAGAAATCCAAAGAATAATCTAATCAAATGTCTCCACGATCATTTGAAAGAATAATCAGAAGATTCGACATCTACCTTCCAATCATGAAATTCCATCTCATATCGTCCGCCTCAAATTAGACGAGAAAGAAATTCCCGAATAATATATATAAGAAATCTCAAATTAATTATAGAAATACATATCTAAATCGAAAATATTCAGAATATCAATGATATAATCTTCAGAATTTTCTTGAAAAAAAATGAATATTCTCATATTTTAAATAGAATATTTCATTCTTCATATAATCTTAGAAAAAATATTCTTTTCATTTTATCAAAAATTCGAAAATATAATTCTTTATAAGATATTATATATCATTCCATATTATTCAGAGGTAGAAATAGAATTCCCAAATTTCAATTTTCTCATTTTACCAATCAAATTTTATATATTTCATAAGAAAAAAATAGAAATTATTTAAATGAAATATGACTAAAATTCAAAATTCAAGAAATTCAAACTCCTATGAAAATGAATATAAAACATATCCCCCAAATATAGAAATTTATATTCATATTAATATTTTTTCAACGATTAAGAAAAATACTTTATATCTAATATTATCAATAATCTATATCCCAAGAATATTCTCTTCAAATTTTGCATTGCTATATGAAAAGATCATCTCATCGAATTAAGGAATTAGCGTCCTTTAATATTATAGTAAGAAATCGATTAATCTCCTATTATATATTTTTTTTTTATCTCTTCAATTAATTTTTTTCTTTCTAATACTCAATTTAGATTTCAAATCTTTATTTCAAAAATCTGTTAATTCCATATTTATATATTCCTAATTTCAGATAATTCTAGATTTCATAATCATATAAAATCTTTTTAGTTCATTTCAAATTATAATACTTAGAATTTTAGATTTTTTTCAAATTCGTTCATATTTATTTGAGAAGTATCTTTATTATGTCCATAAAATATAATATTTTTCATATATAATACTATATTCGAACAATAATTTCAAATTTCATATAATATATTCTCCAATCCCCCTTTTCTTCATGCTAAAATTTAGAAAAACCAATTTATGAAAATAAATTTTCCTAACCATATATTATAGGCTCAAAATTCAAATTGAAGAATTTATTAGATTTATTTTCATCGATTTAAATTTTTCATATCATTCATTCAAAAAATCGGAATTATCTTCTCAAAATAGAAGCTAATAGAAGAAATATATAAACCTCCGAAATCATCGAATGATTGTGTTAAAACGAAACTAATCGCACAGAACCAGGCCGAAAAAATGCGAAAAATTATTGAAGGCAATCGTTTTGAACATACCCGATATCGTACCGTGGCTTCCTGGCAGGCTTGGAACCTGTATCATAGATGCTTCGTCTATGCATCAGAACACGAAATTATCATCTACTAATCATCATATTAATGGCAGCAGCGCAGCCACTTAAAGAGTGGCTTGTAGTCCATTCATCAAGGGTTCAGCAAATGATGCATGCGCCCGCGCAATGCAATGATATGAAAATAGTTAGAGCAGGTACAACTGATTTAGAAGACCAAACAAATAATTGTGACAATCTATGCGCTGTGGTTCTTTTGGCCGGGAGGCTGCGGCATGCAAGCCTGTCTATGGCCTTCTGCTCAAAAGGGTTGCATCATGCAAGCCATGCCTATCCCAAAACAAGGGCGCCAAGTGGTGCCGCTACAGGGGAAGGCGCTGTACAAACAAGCCTCTGTACAAGGGAGGCTTATGGCATGCTGTCAGCTGCGGATAACAGTTCATAATCACCGAGAGCTCCAAACTCTGATGAGTGACCCTCACTTGCCCTGCTTCATCATCAAGGAGCGCTTCTTCTGCGTCTTCTGCATTTGAGTTTCCTGCGCTGACAAAAACTGCGAACAGGTCTTGATGCTCGACATTTTTGAACCTCGATGCACCTTCCTCGCTTCTACCGGTTTGCACACAACTGGCAACCCATATAGGTACTCTTTCTTTTCGTAGCTATGGCTCCTCGTCGCCATTGGGCTTCCACAGGCCACGGTGCAGCACCTCCGCCGCAGCATCATGCACTTTCTCCCAGCCATGGAAGCGGCCACGCTGGCTCAACGTTCCGACGGCATTGGGGAAGGCATGATGGACCTGCGTTTTAAGCGGTTATGCTGCTGCAACCTGACACGGGTTAAACAGCAAGGGGAGGGAATGGGAAAGGGAACCAAACCATGATGGACCTGCGTTTCGGCGGTTGTGCTGCTGCAATCTCCATCGTGCGATTTTGTGTTGTCTGTTTTCTCGGCTGTTCTTTGTCATTAGATATTCTTTCCTTTCAGGCGGTTGATAGAGGGGACTGCTTCTACCTGAGACGGGTTAAAGACTGAGGAAGGGAACATGAACAAACCTAACCAGCACAAGCAAACCTTTCTTACCTCAGCAGCTACCATATCCCACGGCTGGTCAATGGTGCTTGGTCAAGTCATCCTAGCTTGATGCACGGCAGCGCTGCCGAGCAGATGCGCCAAAACAGCCTAGGCACGTCGTGGAAGAGCATCTCGTTCCAGCGGTGCTTTCCACCCAGAACCATCCTTGCATTCTTCTGAGAATTATGTGTACAGATTATGCTAGGGATTCACGGCTTCATTCCCTACCAAGAGAAAGCAAATGTCGCCATTACGTTGTGGAGCACTGGCCAAGTGCGGGCCGGATCCTGCGCGAGGAACTCGTTCCAAGGAAGACCTTTCTGTTCAAACGCTATGGGAATGGAATTTCTAGCTTGTAACCACCTGCCAACGGTTTCAGCTTTTCATTCACAAAATAGAAGACATAAGGTTGAAATGTTTGATCTCGAGCAGCCAGGAGGCTATGGGTAAAGTTGGTGATGAACATCCAAGCTGACGAGAATCCGATGCGGGCGAAGAATGAAACGGTAAACATGAATCGCCAACCCTCGCTGAGGGGGCGTCCCAGTGGGTAGGTACCGAGCAGCCACACGCAGGCCCACAGAGAGAGGACGAAGGCATTGTGTTTCAGACGGCGCGGAACCCACTTGGTCCAGAACCTTGTTTCATCGGAGCAAATACCAATCGAAAAAAAACTCGGCTGTGAAAAACATGTGGGATCTACTTGCGAAATGTGCGGGACAACAGTCCACATGATACCGCTTCTTATTTTATACTTGAAATGTCACAATCCGTACGGAGGACTATTAGGCCGAGCAGCTCCTTGTTGCACTTGCCGCCCGCGCCCTCATCGGGGAAGTGCATCCACCACTCCAGGGCAAAGAGAGAGCCAGTGTCATTCAGGCCAAAGAAATGGATCACTGGAATGAATGGCACGGTGAGCAGGTACTTGTACCAGTTGGAGCTCCATGGCCCTGCCCATTGCTGAAGTGCATAATGGAATTCCTCGGGGTCCCAACCGAACTCACCCTGGATCAGCAAGTCGACAGTGGACGCATGATGCCTCAAAGGCTGCTGCAGTGTATAAGCTAAGAAAGAAAAGTGAGAACAAAATCCTAGGTGTCACCAATCCTGACCCACTACTAATGTGGGAGCCGATTAGTGTGGGGCCCCCCAAACAAAAAGGGGAGCCCCTATGATAAACATAGGCCTCAAAACGAAGTGCGGGTCTGGGGGATCCTATGGCTTAAAAAACAGTAAACAAAGAGGGGCTCCTATTGAATCCATGAGGACTTGCTCGGTCTAGCTTTCAAGAGAATAGCAAGGGCAGGGTCATCGGCCTTTACGTTGGATTGGGCCTGGTCTTGAAGGCCTAGTAGAAGCAATTATATTCTAATTAAAACCATGAGAAAATCTTCAAATCAATTGAAAAGGAATTTGATGAACATTGTCATCAATTTTTTCAGGCCGAGAACAAAATGCAATTTGGGACCTCCCAAATCAAATCGGAGGTCCAGCATAGTTCTTAAACATCTTTACTTGATTGGGGACCCCCGCGCTAATCAGGATTCAACATTACCCTGGGACCCTGCCTGTTGTGCTCCAGGACGAACTCTTCCCACGGGAGGCCTGTGCATGTGTGCGCGTGTGTGTGTTTTTTAAAGGCCACGAATTTTTGTAGGTGTTTCCGTAGGCAACAATGGAAATTCGAAAGCATCCCAAATTGTCACCCATGAGGCTGAAAAAGTCTGCAAACCTTGGCTGCTCTTTAACTAATCCAAACTTAAGATTTAACTGTTAGCTTCTTCGGTGTCAAGAAGAGGAGCATCAAAAAGTGCCAAAGTGCTAAAGCTGTATACATGCCCACCAAGAAGCGGGTGCGTCAAGAAGCGCTGCCATTCATACACTGGGAATGTTGCGCCATGCATGACGTCATGGTCGATGTAGATCCTCGAGAATGAAGGCGTCCAAGGCAATCCAAGGCAAAGCACGGCTAGGTCCATGCAAAAACATGCAAAAGATCTCCCCCAGTGCTGCTCAGGCTCTGCTGAATGGCGATATACGAGAACGGGAGGCCAAAGCACAGCGTGCAGGTCCACCAGTAGTCCGGAAAGGTAGCCAGGGCTCCACAGTAGGCAATCACCATCAGAACTTGACAAGTGAAAATTGCCTTTGCTTCTCTCAACAAGCAGCAAAACAATTATCTTCTAGGAAGGCATCATGTAAGCCAAGGACCGAAAGAGCAAAGGACTACTCAAGATCAGCACCGTTGCTGTCAGCACGTTCCACATGTAAATCATCTGTTCCTCGCGCGAAAAATGAAAAATGAAAAGTTGAGGACAGCAGGATGCCGAAGTCCTAGCTGCCAAAGTGGGTCACCTCAGGCGTCCATCCAGACTCGGGCGACTGCCCGCAGCGCAGTGAGCGTAGTTCGCTCCCACTCTGCAGCAGCCCTCCTCAACATTGCACATCGCTGCCTGGCAGAACCAGCAGCCAGAAGCCCAGCTCGTTGCCGAGCCGCCCCATCAGCCAAGGCGTTCAATCTCCGAGCGCGGACTTCGCCGCAGGGCGGGCACAACCAGCGCGCCGGCGCACTTTTCCCATGAGACGGACACCACCAAAGTCGAACATCAAGTCGATCACGAAGCCGGCCGCGAAGGGCGGTGAAGAAGCCAGCCATGAGGCGCTCGAGACCCCCACCATCCGCAACCTGCAGCGCGGCCTTGCAATCACAGATGACATGCAGGACGCCAGAGCCCCTGCAGAAATCCAGAGCTCGAAGAAGGGCTAGAAGGCCTTCAAGTTCTGCTCGATGCGGAGTCTGATCCTCAGCACCCACACCCTGAGCGAAACACTGCTCGTCCTCAAAGGTCAGGGACCATGCCGCAACGGTGTCAACCACGCTGCCGTCGGTGGCGACAAACAACACGGAGTCCGGGGAAGCAGACAACTTCTCATCAATGATCGCAGCAACGTCCTCAACGTAGTCCTGGTAGTCCACCACGATCGGAGGCCTCGGGGTCTCAGGAACACTGCGAGCGAGCAACCGCTCCTCCAGACGAGTAGTCGGGGTGTCAATGCCTTCGCGAAACGTGGCAGTACACGGGCAAAACCACAGCAAATGCGGCCGAGAAGGTTTCTTGAGACCACATAGGCATAGTGGTTCCTCCAGAGGGCCGAGTCCATTGTCGTAACTGCGCTTCAGCTTGTACCAGTGAGTGCAGCCTCCAGCCAGAGCGGTAGCGCGCTCAAGCCCGTCTCGAGCAGAGCGCCACGCCTCAACATGGCCACGAAAAAGGCACAAAGTGTTGGCAGGCGGGCCCGGCAAGTCCAGGCCTTGTGCCAACTGCGGCTCAGGCTCGCGGCGTAAAGAGGTCTTTACCCGTATGCATCTGCCAAGTCGCTGTCGTCGATGATGGTCTCGAAGCCACTCAAATAGAACATCACGGTTGTCAACTCCTAGCTGAAACTGTCGCACACAGCCCGTGGAGTCACTTCTGTAGAGGAAGGAGCCGGCAGGGTCGGGCCACCAACCAAGGCTGCGCACAACGTCCTTGGTGACAGGCAAGAAGTCAAACCATTTCCTGGCAGCAAGAGTTAGAGGTGCGTCCTCTATCCACACTGGTCCAACTGACTGCAAACGGATCGCTTCCCGGAGGGCAGCCTGCTGGTAAGCAAAGGTGGGCCAAGACTCCCAGCCAGCCACTTCGCAAAGGACAACACGAGCAGCATCACACACGTTGCGTTTGCCAAGCAGCCACGTGGCCTCAGAGTCCAGCGCGCTGAGGTCCTCGGGCTCGATGCGAGCAAAGCCGCCTGCCCACGTAGCCAAGGGAAGCACCAGCGTCCGCATCATGAGCTGTTTCAGCTCCAAAGAAGCCGGAGTGAGCCCAATGACGTGAATCAATCGCCGAGCCTTTGCAATCACAAAGCGGCTCACCACGGGAACCTGAGCAGAGTCCAAGGCAAACCGCACGCCCAAGAGGTCCAGGGAGCCATCTGCAGAATAGCCAAGAGCAGCAGCCAAAGCTTCACCTGCCTCGTTTCCAGAGCGCACGCCCACGTGGCACTTGGAGACATCGCAGTCCAGGTGATAGGCCTCGTCGAAGGAATTGCTCCTATCCATGGCACCACACAAGGCCTCAGCCGAAGCACTCCAAACCAAGCGATCGTCAACGAACGAAGCCGTGTGCACCCCTCCTGCCCCACCAGCACCAGCACCCTCGACGTTACAGCTCCAGGCCGCCATGAGCACAGCCACCAGCACAGGTGAGAGTGGGCACCCTTGTGCCAGGCCACAGGTGATGCGCTTCCACTGCTTACCATGGGTGCCCATATAGGAGAAGACACGCCAGTGGGAGGCGTAGAAGCCCCGAACTAAGTCACACAGAGCAGGCGGAGCTCCAAAGCGTTGAAGCGTAAGAAGCAGCTGAGGAATCCGCACACTGTCAAAGAACTTGGAAAGGTCCTGTTGCACGTAGCAGTTCTCTTCTACCTCAAGCGAGTCGATCACTCGAAGAAAAACATCACGTACCGACCGCCGGCAGATGCCGCCCAGAGTTCGGCAGCTAGCCCAGGAAGAAGCCCAGCGTCTCAGAGAAGCAGCCAGTGCCTTGGCACCGATGCGCCAAGCCACATTGAGGACCGTCAGCGGTCTCATTCCCGTGGAAGCTTTAGGTATGAGGACGACCCTGCCTTCAGACCAGCGACGAGGGATCACACCACTTGTCACGACCTCTGCCCACAGCAGCGAGAGCGCGTGCCAAAAGTCCTCCGGGAGCAGCAGGAAGTCCTCAATCCGCCAGGAATCGGGCCCGGCCGCCTTGCCCTTCATGGACTTCGCCACCTTGAAAAGCATGGGACCAGAGAGATCAGGCTTCCAGTCACGCAATGGAGGATACAAAGGAACCGCTGTAAGCATCCGAGAAACAGCATCGACGTTGCACGCAGAGGAGTCACATTCCCAGCGTCTCATCCACTCCTGCTCAGCCTCAGCCACAACGCGGACAGGGTGAACAGCCTGTTGCACAATAGGAGAGCCAGCGTCAGGGACAGGTCGGGAAGCCACAATGTCCTCCTTGGCGCGCCGCTTAATCCATGCCCGAAGCAAAGCAGGGGCTTCACGCATGCGGTTGCGCCAACACTGCATTGCATGAGCGCAGCTTTCATCCTCCATCTTGGCCACAAGCTCGCCAACAGCATCCGCACCAGCCTCAGGAGCGTGAGCCGGAAGAGCACGGAGGTCAACAATATGCATGGAAAGGTGCCGAAGTTGCCGACGAACCACAGCACGAAGCCCAGACTCCCAAGGGTTAGCACGAAGGTGTAAAAGCCGACGGTGAAGTCGTCGAAGCTGCACGACCACCAGAGACTCGACACCACGAGCCGCCTTCGAGCCCTGCCTGCCAACAAAGGGTTTCCAAGGAGCAGAGCGAGACCGCCGAGAGCCATGCTCACCACTTGAAGAATGCACGCCTTCCTCACAAAGCACATCCTCGGCAGCATCCGATAAGAGTGTCCAGGCCTCGTCAACCTGACCACTGCTCAGCAAACCCAAGAACTCGGCCCCGTCGCCCCAACGACTGCGCCACTTGTCCACAGCAACCGGCTCCGCGCACAAAGCCCGTCGAGCAGGACCACGAGCACCGCAGGGCTCCGAAAGATCAACCTCATAGCCCACAATGGCATGGTCAGAAAAAGTCCAGGCTTGAAAAGCACCAGCAGGGAAAAGCCGACCGGTACCCAGAGCATAGTCCAAGCGCCTGCCACTGCCCCTCGTCGCAGGGCAACAGGAAAAGGGCTCATCCCAATGCCAAGCCAGTCCCTGTGAAAGTGCCTGGCTCATTTCCTTGTCAAGCAAAGGGTCAAGATTGAAGTCGCCAAAGAGCACCCACTCGAGGCGCGTGGCCCTTAATGCCTCCACAGTCAACGTCGTCTCTGTGAGGGCCAAGGCCGGATCAGAAGGACAAGCATGAATCGAAGCCAAGAGGATCTTAACATACTGCCCATTCGCCACCACTTCGAAAAGAGCACAAGTGCAACGAACTGCAGCAATGCCCTCGACAGTCAAAGCCCTGCCAGGAACCTTGGATAGGATGCCAGTTCTGTGCAAACCGTCCATGGCCTCAGACATAAAGACATGCAGGCCGTAGCGTCGACACGCCGCAGTAAAACTGGCAACAGATGCCACTGGGACATCCAGCTCCTGAAGGCAAAGAACATCACAGCAAGTGTCCTCATCGCGCATGAGCTCAACAATGGCAGCAAGCTTAGGGAGGCCCGCCCGACCCACATTGAGCGTGGCAAAGCGGAGGTTCAAGAATGCAAAGGAAGGCCTCCGAGCATGTGAGCCGCACTGTCAACAACAGTACGCAAAGTCTCATCATCAACGCCGTGCTCACGGGATTTGCCCTTGCACTGCTTCCAAACCTTGCGCACCGTAGCAACGCGCCGCTTGAGCGTGTCCTTGGCAGCTGAACCGCACTTATGCCCACGCGCACGCTTGACGAACAGGAAGGACTGAGTGCATTTCTTACAACGCCAAGCCGAGGAGAAGCGAAGCCGGGGCTTGTTGCGGTGCCTGAGCAAGCGAGGCCATGTAAAACCATGAAAACCCTCAAGCTCCAAAACCTCGCCCTTGATCTTGCGCCGTCCAGGTTGACGATTGAGCTCCGAAACCCGACGACGCATGACATGCCCACCAGCCGTAGTAGCAGGAAGACGACACTTTTTGGCAAAGCTAGCCTTGCTCCAGTCCGGGTGAGCATCAAGTCGGTGTTGATCACGGGTGTTGGTGAAGGCATTGGCTGAGAACCCTGCTCGCCCTCCGAAGGGAATACCCCAAGAGCACAGCGGGCACCGCCAATCAGCACGGGCCCCTTTGGCCAGCTTGGAAAGGGCAATGACAGGGGCGACCGCAACGCCGCTGCTCATCAGGGTGCCACTGGACATAATGATCATATCGGCGTTTGGCCAAGTTGATGGTAGACGAAGCCACAAACAAATGAGGACAGTGCGCACATCGCTCCTTGAAGGAACCATCAGATTGCCGAGCTGGATGGGTAGTAGAGCCACGCTTATACCACTCGACCAAGCGGATCTTACGGCTTCCCCCCTCATCTGCAGGACCGCCATCATGCTCCTGAAGTAGATCAGAACCATCTGCGCAAGCAAGGCAGCTATCAGCAGCACCCGAAGAGACGGGTGCATGGCGTTTGCGCTTGCCCGCATTGCCAACAGCATCACGCAAGGAGCGAGTCTCAGCAGCTGACGGTGCATACCAATGGGACTTGGCTTTGGGCCCCTCCTTTGAAGCCATGCCAGAAGCACAGTCAGACAGTGAAGGGAAGCGCTGTGCCCCTTGTTCTCCAGAACCAGAAGCACATTCAGACAGCGAAGGAAAGGGAGCCTTGGCAACAGAAGCCACAGCCCTGGCTGGCAAACGCGAAGACCGCAAAGTAGCCGCATGCACACTGGATCCAGAAGCGCACTCCGACAAGGTAGGGAAAGGAGCCTTGGCCGCAGGGGCCCCAGCCTTGGCCGATGAGCGCGATGCCCTCGAGGCACAGTCTGTCAGAGCACCACCACCTCGGCAAAGGCTGTCGGCGTAGGAGAAAGCTTTGCCACCCAAAGCAACATATCGTTCACGAAGGTGAGCCTCATCAATGTTGTAATAGGCTTCCCAGTGCTCCTTAGTAGTATCGAAGCGCAACGCAATGAACCCAGCAGTGCCCTCAGCGTTCAAACTATGAAGCTCGCCATCCGAGGTGTACACCCAGGCACGGTATTGCATGTCAAGACAAATGGCCAGCAGCTCCAAACAACCGCCCCAACTGGAGTTGGAGCTTGCCTCTTCAACAAAGCCGTCCCAGCTAAGGCTAGCAGGTCTGCCCGAACAATTGTGTGATCCCGCCGCGACCCACATGGGTTGTAGGACCTCAGCATGCTTGCGCAGGCAAACATTCGCATAGCGACGAATTTGGCGATGAGTTCGCGAAGCACCACCAAGATCACACTGAGCCAACGCATGGTACAAGCAATTGCCCTCGCCAACATTAGTCAATGTGGCAGCCAAAGGAGCCCATGCCCGTGGGTTGTCACCAGCAGCGCCCTCAGCGTCCACCTTCATGTGATTGCCAGGCTCCTCGCCAGGCACATCACGTTTGGTACCACGCGGCAGCGCCGCCTCAGTGACCACAGCATCACCGGGTGCACCATGCGCATCTTTGCTCTCCACAGCCCGCCCTTTGGCGCCAGAGCGGGGTTTGGAAGAGCGTGTCGCAACCTTGGCATGAGATGTGTTTCTGGGCACGGATCGGGGTAATGGTCTGCTGCTTGTACCCGCGCCGTGCCGCCTCACGCAAAACAACAATCTCCCTAACATCCTCCTCCGAGCCCCACTGGATCTGTTGCTGCACAACTTGAAGAGTGTCTTTACGACGACCTCGAAAACACCAGTGATTGAACTTGCCTGCCCGGTCCATAGTGTCCACAGCGACACTCGGACTTCAGCATGCGAACACCAAGCCCTCGACCAAGAACAAGCCCACACTGTGCATCAGGGGCAACGCGCCTAAGGTAGGTCATGTAGTCCTCCTCGGGAAGCCACGGAACCCACTTGACCCCGAAGTCCCCTGAAAGGACACTGGAGCGGTCGCCAACGATGTCCACGAACCAAGTCTGTCCCCCACCTCGGATGCCGGACTTGGACCAAAGAGTAGTGGCAGTGGCCTTGTCCCGAACACGCACCAATCCTGAGACCTTAGTGTCACCAACTCGAGCGAAGCCCAGGCATCCACAATGGAGAGCTGCTTGACGCCATGACTGCCAGCCCACAATCGGACCTGTTGCCCCGGCCTGGAGACAACACGATCCCAAGAACCAGGCTCAAAGGCCTGATCAAAGGTCACTCGTACCACAAATGAAGTTGCCCTGAGGGTCTGCAAAGAAGGGGGCGGCCGCTTGATAACCAGTGGCTCAGCACCACGCGACGTCAAAGATGGAGGAGCCGTACCAGCCGTAAGCATCCACAAACGACGGGTGCACAGCCGACCATTCTCATGACCAGGAATCAAAATGGACACCGCCCCCTCAGCCCACGATGGCAAAGTAACCTGAGCATTAGGGCAAGGAAAGAGGAGGGTCAGGTCATTGGCATGGTCGTCATCCCGGTCGGCCTGATACAAATCCCATAGCTCAGCAGCGTCATCAAGGGAACCAACATGGGCAACCCAGGCGACACCTTCTGAAACATCAAGCTCTTCACTGAGCTCGGCAGCACTGGACACAAAGCCAAGGGCGGAGCGGGCAGTCCACAGCTTGCGGTCAATGGTCCATGAGTCAGGGCATGGAGTGGAGTCCCTCACCCGCGTATCGCCAGTGGTTCCAGCGGCTTGTCGCCTGCGCCTCCGTGTCCTGGAGCCCGAAGCCTTGCTCGCAGGCGGCATGGCAGGCTCAGCAGCTAAAGCAGGCCACTGCTCAGCATAACCATCATCCTCATCAGCCCAATACCGCTCAGATGTGGTCACCCAGCGAGTAGGAGCCGACCAAGTGCTAGCAGCATAGTCATCGCCCTGCGTGTCAGCAGGCTCGCGCCAAGGTTGCTGCCAGGAACGATCGCCCCAAGTATGAGCAGCATGGCCCTGAGCATGCCACTCTCCATGTTGCTGTTTGGCCTCAGGTCGCCGACGGAGAGCAGGTGACCTAGTAGCCTGGGTAACCAAGCTCTTGAGCTCCTGCAACAAGTTTGTCGGCCGCCGCACAAGCAAGGCCTGAAGCTCAGCATACAACCAAACTTCATCATCGTCACTATGGTTGGGCTCGCACTTCTCAAGAAACTCACGCAGGCCTTGAAGCATGCCTCATCGGCAGGGCCAGGATTCTTCGCTTCCCCAACCCTCATTCCGACCCACTTGTCATGTCTGCACTCATTCGAAGCACTCACCAAAGCACTCACCGAAGCACTGCCACACTGGAAATCAGCGCCATGGGCACCACCAAAACAATAAAGCTCGCGGACAAAAATGTCTTGGGTAACTCTCCAAGGCACATCGTTGAGCACAAAATCGTCAAAATTGCAAAGGGACTGATGGCCGCCAAAGGCGACCCCAACCTCAAAGCCACGACCAGCCAGCCGCCCACCGATGCACGAGACGAGCAGCAGAGCCAGCCATCCAACCAGCAAGCCACCAAAATGGCAGCAGCCACCTCCATGGCGGCGAAGGCCATCACCATCGCGATCACGAGTACCTGCAAAGCCATGGCGCCGGCGCGGGCGAAGACTAACAGGCCTAAGGGCACTAGGCCCAGAAGGGCCGGTACATGTAAGTGGGCAAAGCCTCTTCAACGCATTCTTCATGGTTGTTGCCGGTCTTCGGGTCCGCTCCCCATCTTGAAAGCCCCGCCGGGTCTTGCAATTTCTTGAAATGACTTTCCCAGGTTTTCGGGTCCTGTCCCGCAGTACAGCAGAGCCCTTAGAACCCCTAAGAACCCCGGACCAACCCCCTGAACCGGCAACCCTCAGTCGAGCTCCTGGACAAAGAGGCCTGAAGAGCAACGGTTGCCGTAGAAGCCAAAGAGCAGAGCGCCCCCGCCGACACCTCAAAGATCGACGCCGAGTTCTCGCCCATCTAAGTCGTCTGTTTCCTGCCATGCGCGCACCAAATGCAGCGCAGTCAAGAAGAACATGGTTAGCAAGCGCACGCCAACCCAGGCAGCGCTTGTGTCGCACTCCAGGGCCCCAAGCATGAGTGCGGCCACATAGCCGTCGTCGTTGTAGGGGGAGACGACGCCAAAGACGTCTCCTGAACTGGCGCCGCACTCCCAAGGAAGGAATGGCACAATGTCCACGTCGCTGTAGGCTCCCGACACGTAGTGAGCAGCATAAACCACAAATGCAGCCAACAGTCAGGGAACCAATGCCAGCATAGCCACCAAACGCCAAGGTCACAACCCAAGGACCAAGGCACATCAGCAGCAGCCAGCACCAAAGAGGAGAGGTTCCACAGAACCCCCCGAGAAGAATATGGCACCACCCACAGCACCATCTTCGCCAAAGCCATCGGAAGACCTCGCCACCACCGACGAGGATGAGCACAAGAGCACTGAATGGCCCACAGTAAGGAGCAGCAGCCCACCAAACGCTTCCAGCAAAGATCTGCAAACCCAAACAGATCCCGCCGAATGCCTCAAGGAAGAGGAAGAGCTCTGCACCTTGACCAGTGTCAAGGCCCGCTGCCCCCAACGTGGAGGTGTCTTCACGACAGCTCTGTTCCTCGCGCGAAAAAAAAAATGAAAAGAATGAAATTTTCGCGAGAACTGCAAAAAGATGGACGGATAAACAACTTGCAAGAGGTGTTGCTAACCAAGCACCGCATTGTGTGGGCTCTACGGTCAAAAACTTGCCATGTCCGAGTAGGATCTGGAGTAATCTTGGTGAAGAGGAATGCCAGATTCTGCGGCATGGGGTCTGGCTTGTTCGGAGTGGGGAACAGCCGGTTGGTCTTCAGGCTCCGGTTCTCGTTGTTCTTCTGGACCGAAAGCATCTTGTCGTTGCTCGGGGCAACACCTGCTGCATTGGGGTCCCCCTCTCCTGGGAGGGCATTTTTTAGCGCGGCGATCTCATGATCGGTTTCCTGACAGCGAGAATGCTCTGTGCCAGACTGCAGATGTTCAGACGTCACATGGCCACAAACAAAATCGATTTCCAAAAATGTCCAGTTTCGTACTTTCGCTTCAGCTCCTCAAGGTACTCATCTGCGCCGTAGAAAATCGAGGCCTTGGAGTGGCCCTGGCGAAAGTCATGGATACAGGTCATGGATGCTTTTGGGTTCTTATGGAGTTCAAGGCAATAGGGAATGTGGTGGATCCGGAAGTTGATAGCACGCCTTGCCCTCCTTGGCCAGAAGCGGCGCACTGGTTGCCATGGCAGTGGCACCCGAAAATGTTGTCCTTTTTAATACAACTGCCTGAGCCAGACGGATCTCAACAAGCGACCTGTGAAGATGGCAAACTACGTAAAGAGTATTTTTCGTATTTGAATACACTGATAAGTTCTTCATTGTATCATCCTGATAATTTTCGTCCAGCGTAATATCAGAAAAATACATCAATATGCAGTTATTGATCAAATCAAACATGACTTCCTGCTTGTGCAAAATCATTTTGTGCCCATGACTTGCGTCGAGTCATCATTCTCGCACGAAGGCTGACCTACTCCAGCAAAAGGAAACCCTCAAGGTCCGACAGCCTTATAGCTTCTATAGGTTGGGAGTGACATCAGCCATAGTCTAAACTCCTTAAGGGGGGCTATATCCGGGATAATATATGGGACTACTATAGGGGTTATTAAGCAGTGGCTAACCCCGCATCTCACATGCATATACTCCACCCTATGGTTT